GGAACACATTGTTCTCAATGTAAGTAAAAGGATAGGAGAACGAAGTTACCAAAATGTTGAGTCGAATTGATTGTGGGATCGAAGGGTAGGGTGGGTGGGTTGATCTCCTCCCAAATCTAAGGAATCTCCTTTTGGACTTGGTCTCTCGAACATTAGGTGACACTTCTAGTTTTTGTTGGTGTTCTTGCTCATGGTGTAGTGGTGCATGAGGCTTAAATTGTTGTGTGGAAATTCAAGTGGTCTGGTCTCTCCATGGATTGGAAGTTTGAATTTTTTACCACCTCCGGCGGACGAGCATTGAAAATCTCTCCTCCTCAAAGTATTAACCCTTATAAAGGTTCCTACACACAAGAATGATTCATACCCATCCATGCCAAACACATTTCATAAAATAATGCATTGAACACTTCTCATCATCGTTAGGATCCAATTTAATGCCAAAATGGATGTTTTGCAAATAGGAACGAAAATAGACATAAATAACTTGATATGTGACCTAGATACAGTGATTTAACATGCAAATGCCTTAAGAATAAGAGCTAAATAACATTTATTTTATGTGTTATCATCATTTTGTTTGTATTCCCCTGTTCTCCTCATATTTCCTCGGTTGGGGAATTTAATCCTCCTGGTCGGGGAATTCACCTTTAGCGTCCCTGGTTGCGGCTGCTTATTCCTAGTCGCATCCCTCTTGATCCCCTTTCGGGGATGGGTGTCCGTGCGGGCTGGGGTACGTAAAATAGTAAACATTTTTAAACAACATACATATGCATGTATATAATTGGCAAGTTCAGGGTGGATATGAGAAACCATGTCCATCCATCAACCACGTACTGAGGTTACCCATTAAAAATCCTTCTAGTTTGGATTTTACCATATTCGATTAGGTCATATTCAGGTGTGTATCCACGAGTATGATTATTATTGCATTCCCACTTTTATCTCCTTTGATTTAACCTGAATTTTGAAAAAATTTACACAGAAGAAATGAGTTCATTATAAATTTATAATCTACAAATAATATCCTTTTTATACAGTTGGATAGTAAATCCGGGACATATACAAAGTGGTTGTGCTATCAAATGGCTATAAGAGAAGATCTTATCACTCGAATTGTGGGCGTGGAGAAAGGAAGTATTAACATGGCTTCGGATGGCAACATTGAGCAAGTGGTTGGTGATGTTATGGTGCCTTTGGAAGGAAAAATGCTCAGGTGCATAATGGTACCGATCTTGAGGAGGATAAGATAGAGATCTAGCCTAACTATTTTTTTCCAAGTTTACCAATCTCATCAAGCGAATGACAACAAAATAGAACCAACTGAACATACAACAATGTGGACGCTACCACCCTCGAGGTTTATGAAGATCATTATTGATGTCGAGATTTCGGGAAACAGAGGTGCGTGTCTTGGTGCAGTGGATTGTGGTTCAAGGGGTCGCTCATAGTTACAACAACTAAGAAAATTCCCGATACCTGAGAAACCAGAAGAAATCTCAAATTACTAGACTTACAAAAAACAATTCCCAACATACAACACTTGTACAAAAAATTCCCAAGATACCAAGTTTGTTCGCTTTATTCTCCTGCGATTAAGGTTGCTCTCTTTCATTTTCAACGATCTGAGATGTGGTTCGTTTGACACACAAGCGAACTACTCCAAATTTGGTTATTTTGGTAATTTGAGTATTTTGTAATTTTATGATAACTGTGGAATGTTGAGAATTGTTTTTGGTAAGATAGTTTGGGATTTCTTCCCATGAAATCCTAAGATGGCAAAAGCTCTAGCCATGGAGTTTGGGATCGAGATATCTAAGAACCTCCAACTACAAAATTTGAAGATGCAATTATATTGTCTTTCTCTGGTGCAAAATGTCCACGACATCGGGGTGTTATTAGCGGAGTTGGTTACTATTTTACAAGCATTCGATGAGTGACATGAAGATTTGGGATTGTTCAATATGTTCGATGGACGACATCTTATACTAAATGGAAATAGCTCTATTGCTTAGGTTGATAGGCCTAATATGATTCTAATTAATAAAGTTACTCCTAGATTCTTACTAAAAAAACAAAATATCCTTTTGATATATTTTGAGGAATATATTTTTGGACAATCCGTTACCTCGTTCATTTTAATTCAAATTCTGAAATTTTTTGCACAGAAAGAATGTGTTCATCGTGATCTACAATATAATGTCTATTTTCAATATATTTTGATTTTTTTTTATGACCAATCATACCACCCTCCATAGTGGTAGATGGCGACAGAAGGTAATGGATGGTGGTTAGTATATCATATCATCATGTATATCCTCATTCTACACTAAGTGGTATAATTTCTACCATCTTAATATAATTTCACTACAATCATGATATAATCCTCTGCAACACCATAGTAAATACATTAATATAATATGTCTAACGTCATAGTACTTTTTCATACTACCATGGCATAATCTTCTATACCAGCATGGTATATACTGGTTAATATAAATCTCGATTAAAGATCTATTTTTTTGCTTCAAAATGTATCAAATTGGATGTTATTTTGAAATTATGATTAATATATTTTTATGTAAAATTTTTGGAATCTTAGATTAAAATGAAAAGTATATGACTAGTTAAATTTTGAATCTTAGATTAAAATGAACGAAGTGTTTTTTCATGTTGGTCATTGTAGTAAGTGTTCTTTCAACACTTGCAATGACAACTTGTAGCAACAAATGCCACTACGTTTTGAGTTTTTTATATTTAAAGTTTAAACTCAGTTACTAAATATATTAATTAGTCTTTAAATAGAAATAAAAAAATGTTGGTATTTAGTAAAAGACTTTACAAACTTAGGAAAATTTTGTGTACAATCCACAATCACAAGAAATTTGTTTATTACATTTTTTGGCCAAGGTGGTGCAAAAGACCTACCTTGGTCTTAAGTGGCTCCGCCACTATCTCCAAGTCATCTCATAAAGGTGGAGAATCCTAGCGGCATCTCTATGTTTTTATTCTTCCATAACATCACACGTGTTTGACCTGGTCATGACCCGCCAGGTCACTCGCCACGTCACCCGCCACATGTGACATTCTCCTCCACCTATTCTCGGGACGCCCTTGTCGCTTCCTCGTTACGAAATTCCTCTATCGACCTAAAGCAGCCTCTCTCGACTCTTGAGCCTCGTTGGTGACATTCTCCTCCACTCAACCCACGACACCCTCATCGTGCTCTTTGTCAGACGCCTTCCTTTGCTTAGCTTCACTACTTGCAAGATCTTGTTGCGCCTTCCTCCAAGCCAATGATGACCCTGACTCGCTCTCGATCTTTGTGCTTCCATGATGTTGCGCACTCCTCTATGGTCTTCTCCATCGCATCCTTGAGTGTCCCACCTTCTCGATCATGGTGGCCATTCCTTGCTCCTCTTGGCAAATCAAGGATGGCTCATCCTCATTTCTCGTGGCTCTACGGTGTTGCGCACTCCTCCTCCTCCTCGTTCTCCAATGAGTCTTCAAGTAGACCTCTCCATCCACCATCATTGCCACTTCTCGTTGCCCTTGCCTTTCCAAACACCTCTTGTTTGACTTGGGCTGCTCTCTTGTCGTGGAAACCGATCTTGTTCTGCCTTCGATGTAGAATCTGTTGGCGTAGGGGATCGGAAAAGCTTTCTCCCGCACCTTTAACTCCATGCCAATGATGACCTGATAGTCATCCAACGATACAACCTCAAAGTCCGCCACCGCAACCATCCTCCAAGCTTGAGTGCACGCTACTCTGTGAGTTCTTGTGGCCCTTGAATTAGTAGCCTTTAGCCACCTTCTCTTCTTCTCGTATGTGACGCCTAGCCTCCGTGCTTCGTCCACGTTGAGAAGGTTGTAGCTTGCCTCGGTGTCAACCAAGGATTTTGTCTTCCTTTGGTTGAGCTTCGTCTCTACGAAGCATTGGCCGTGTTGCTCAGGGTGAGGAGGCCCTTCCGTTCGCTTGATGGCGCTCAATCTCTTCATGTAGTCAATCTTCGTGACATGCGGCTCCACTCTTGGAGTCACCTCCTCTTCCTCTTCTAAGCTCGAGCACTCTGTTAGCATGGCCTTCATGACCGACAACTTGTGCTTCTTTGGGCAATCTCTCACATGATGCGGACCGTCACAAAGAAAGCAAGTAAGTGGTTTCTCAGTCTTACCATTACCTCTTTGATCCGAGCTACCACGCCTCCGTGTGTCTTTGTCATAGCCGTGCCCAATTCCATTTTCTCAAGAATCCACGCGTTCCTCCGGCTCGTGCTACTCGACTAGGGACTCGGCAATTGCCATTGCCTTGGCAAGACTTTGCACACCTCACCGTTGTAGCTCCAACTTCGCCCATGGTTGGAGGCCATCAAGGAAGATGAACATGACCTTCTTGTCGGTGTAGTTAGGGATCTCGAGCAGCAATTCGGAAAACTCCTTCACATACCCTCAAATCTCTCCTTCGAGAGCAAGCCTCCTTAGTCTCGATCGGGCTTCAAACTCAACGTTCTCAGGGTAGAATTGTCTCGTGATCTCCCTCTTGAAGTCATTCCAGGACTCCATCACGCACTTCCCTTTATTGATATCGCCTTGGGTCCTTCTCCACCACAATATAGCAACATCACTCAAATAAAGAGGTGTGATTTTCAACTTGGTATTCTCATCTCGAATACCCCGAAGCTTCGAAGTATTGCTCCAAGCTCCATTGGAAGTTCTCTAACTCCCTTGCATTCCTCGACCCTTGAAAGCTCTTCGGTCTTGGAATCTTTATGGTTGAGATAGGTTGCACCGCGGCAGGTCCGTTAGCCATGGCTCTCTTCGCGAGAGTGACCTCACTATTGAGATCTGTAATCTCCTCCTTCACCAAAGTTGGCCTTTAATTTTTGAGGAAACATGTTAAAAACATAATTCGAAAATTGTATATATGAAAATCGGACCACCCAAACCCGTTGCAATCCCTATTCCCTACTATCAATCACCCGTTCAAACTCGGATTACAGGCCCACGACCAGACCTCCAGGTTATCATTTCAAAGTGAACGATCATTGTGAGAATTGGGGACCAGTTAGTTCGTTCATTCGTTCCTTGCCAGTTGCTACCTGCAAGGCACCTCAAGTCCTCAACCACTCCTTTCGTCTCGCGTGGAACGGCAATTGAACCTAAAAATAATTCACACAGCAGCAACTGCCACTCTGATGTGAACCAAATCCAATCCTACAGACAACTTGCGGAAAGTGCTGACTGCTGACCAGTGACCACCTTAGGTCTTAGGAGTTTGAATGGGTGGCTGTTGCTTTCCTTCAAAATTCTTCTTTCTATCCACCGCCAGAAACCCCAACACGCAGCACTTATTCCGATTTTCTCATCAATGGCACACATCAACTGAAACGTTCGGAATTAACAATAGTCATAAACCCAAAACAGGCAGGAAAAAAGGGAAAAAAAACAGCCCAGTATTCGTGATAGCGGCCATTTTCTCCCTCTTTAAAACGTCATCTGACAAAGTGTATTGTTCGCCCAGGAACATAAAGAAACAAAGAAAGAACGAAGAGACGGTTCAAATCAAAATCAACTTGCACACTCTTGGTCTTCCCTATGAGCCTTGCAACCTAAACACGGCTATCTTCTTGATATCTTACAAATCAATCACGCGTGACAGCTTTTGGATGCGGTTCAGTAAGAAGTCTCCTTGTTTAATAGTTGCCTGGTATAGAGCATTCTTTGCATCAGGCCGATTGGTTTCAAGTACCCCAGCTACCTTATCAATCTTGCAATGAAGCTTCCCTGCTGCAATGAAGCGTGACAGTTCCCTGAAGAAAGACAAAAAGTTCAGACTGACAAACAACAGAACCCCGCAAAATGCAGTGAATAATCAAAATCCAAGCAGCGAAGACCAATATAGTTCAAAACAGAAAACAAAACAAGTTACTTACAAATCAATGAACTCTACAGTCACACCGAAAGCCTTTGCCATGGCGTCAATGGTAACGCTCTTATAGGATTCCAGGAACTGAGAATAGACCACTGTTCTGACCTCCCTCATGTAGTACCGGAAATGTGGGTGCAGATACCGGTCCAATTTGATATGCTCAGTCAGCCCAGCTGAAAAGTAATATTCCACATCAAGTGATCAATTAATGGCACTTGACAACAAGAGAACAAGCTTCATTAAGCATAGAGGGAACTTCTTGTTTCATAACTCTATGTATTGAATGGTAACTCGGGTAATACACATGCATGACAAGAATAGGAAAAATCTGAAAGCTTACCAAATGCAGAGAAAAACGACTTGTATTGGCACTCATAGAGAGAGTTCAAAAACTCTGAAAGATGTGGAATTTTTCCTATCACCGCCAAGATTTCAGGTGCATCCACCACCTACAAAATCCAATCTTGATTAATACCGGTTTCAGCAGGTATCACAACCATGTAGAAATCAATTAGGGAGTTACAGAACCAATTGACCAGCATACCTTCTGCTTCAGGGACACTCTGTCCAAGGTTATGATGCTAGTTAGAACAGTGTAGAATATGAAAGTGTCATAGGGGAAAATTTCATATGTTGTGAAGGTTGAAATAGAATCCAAGAACAAGCTAGCTGCCTTCTTGAAGTTCCGAGTAGACATGCAAAACAGGCCTTCATACACCTTCAGACGATTTTTCCTCTCCCAGTCACCTCCCTCTTCAAACAAGCTGGCGTAATAAGAGAATTGATGGTTGTACGATCAACACAAGTACTCCTACTTTGATAGTACAGAAACCAAAGGGAAAAGAAAACAACAGATCCATGTTGAAACTCACCTCTTCGCCTTGTCGATGCTCTTAGAAATGAGATCGAAGTCCATGTAGAAAAAGCCAAGCTGCAATGTGTAGAACACCAAATCCATCTTTTGTCCAACAGCAACGGTCTTGGTTTCTGTAACTTTAAGTTGTTCCAGTGCCTTCTCCTGTAATCGGAAAGGGGAAGAAAAACAATACATTCTTAAAAAGGCAGTGACACACACCAAGGATAACCATTAAAGCAATAGCATAAAGCTTGTCACCTTGTCCCCAATACGAATGTAGAACAAGGATTTAGCCAAATGAGCTTCTCTAACTTCACTTTCACCCAGGTTTTCTTCAGCATCTGCAATCCTAGAAGAGACAATGGGATAGGATACTCATTATATAGTAAACAGAGCCTAACAAATGAGTTCGGTAGAAGCATCATTCATGTAGCATATTTTGTAAGGGTGGGTAGTCCAAATCCTAACGTCACCTGTCTAATAGGAGCATCTCAGTGGAAACTACAAAGCACTTATATAATTCCCTTAAGGAAAGGCCTACACCCTTCTGCCATAAGCTAACTGACACTCACAATGCCAATCTCTCACAAAGTTCTGACCACATGTCAGAATTCCAAATATAGGGTTCTAATATACACGTTTTTTTAAGAAATTACTGAACTATATTGCACAGGTACTGCGAGGAAATATGTTTTATTGGCCTGCTACACCCAGTACATCCTTTCAGAAGAAACAACAAGATCTACACGAACTACTGAAACATGGGGTTAAAAGTTCACAGATGCAATCCGTTACCATCAAAAGGTGTCACTGACGGGGAAAAAACAATTTACTACAATTCATATTTTCAGTTGGATGTTGTGTTTTCTTTTATAGAAACCATAATGAAACAATGCAGAACTGATATTCAGAACAACAGGCTGAAGCTTACAAAACTAATTAAGGCAGTTAAATTGTTATAGTATTTGGTTTACTGGAGACCGCAATTCACAGAATCTTTGCTACCAACTACATGAAACCCCAAATTTCAGTCACAATGTCACATCCACAATGAACCTGAGAGCTTAAAATATCAACAGGTAGTACGAGCATTGCGATGAAATCAACCTAAAAACTAAAGCCAGTACAAGCATCTTCTGGGTGTGAACCAATTATCACTACAATCACTGAAGAACTTTAGACCTGCATAATAATCAAGTTCCCCTCCCTGGAACTTCTCTTCCCCCCTCTTATGTTAACACCCGTGCAATGGACCTTACATCCTGATTTTGCTAGACTAAGCATTCAAGCGCAAATTCGAATCCCTCAAAATCAGAAGTCTGCTCCGTTATCCAGGCCGTCCAGCATAATAGTCCCGATTCCTCCCCAGTCCCCAACGCAAACACGAGAATCGCAAAAGACTTAAGAAAGGAAATGTTATTGCACTGAGAACACTCACTTTTCGTCGAGCTTCTTTAGCTCCTCCTCGATCTTGCTCCCCATCGATTCCGAGAAGTTCTGATCTTTCTCAAGCAACGACTGGCCCACTAGGGTTTCAAACAACGGGGCCATATCTTCACCAACAGAGGCAAGAAAACACACAAAATATTAGGTCAAAGTAATACAGCCTAATTCTTCACAACTTGACAGAACTAATCGAGGAATTCGTATTAGCTCACCATTGGTTTTGACTGCCTCCAGTACCTCCTCTTTCAGACGGACCTTTTCGATGTCTTGTACATCAGGGTGAGTGAGGAGGAAGAGCTTGTTAGCGAGAACCAGATGTGGCTGTTGAATTCCTTCGGGGGCGTCCATGACCAACTCGCTCTCAGTTCTCAATTCGGCCTTTGCGGGTTCTCTTCTTGTTCCAAGTTTTGCTTGAGCAAGGAGGAAGCTCGATCCTCAAGAAATATATTTTATAGACGGTTGAAGAAATAGTGAATTTTGATTTTTGAATTATCAAATATAATATAAATAAATAAACCTTATAAAAACATATAATATGAATAAACTTTATAATACATTAATTAATACTTAACTCAAGCTTCTCAAACGTGTTTAGACAAACCCTTTGCCTTTCAATTCTAGATTTTGGAAATTCCTATGACATTTACCTTTACCTCCAAAATTAAAATTTTTATGTTAGCGTTTGATTCAAGATTTCCTGCCTATTCACTCTATTTTGCAGGTTAGACAATGGTGACGGATAACAATGGTAATACTTTAGCTCGTCGAACACTATTTTTTATCAAAATGTCATTGATAAATGGTAATATTTAAAATAAAGAAAATAGTGAATATTAAAAGTCAAAATAACTTACAATGAAGTCCTAACATTTGGGCAAATCTTAAATCATAAAATCTTAATCTCAGCACTCTTAATCTCTAATCTCCGGTGACTACTCATAATCATAAAGCAAATAACTAAAAGTTTACTCTGTTGCCTGCTCGGATCCGATCTCTGATACCTTCAATGATGCTTGTACTGTGCTCCTCTAGCTGGATGCTCTTTAGTTGCTTGGTCTACGATTGGTTTCTCTCTCGGTCTTTCTCTACGACCTAATAAGTGGGTTGGGGTCAGTCTATGTCATTACTTAAACTCGAAGCATTTAAGGGTAGTGTTCATCTCAAAACTTGTGGAAGTTGTTCATACTTCTACCCTTAAATTGTAACTCTTTAAAACATGGGAATTGTTGTTACTCGCAACCCTAAAAAAAACTTAAAACTTTGATCGACTCTGGGATTCTCTCACTCGTGAAAGGGTTACTCAAAGGGCAATTGTTCTATAAAAAAAGGGCAATTGTTGATTAGGTATACAACAATTAGGGTGTATACCTAATTGGTAAGAGTCGCTCTAACACTCTAGAATCCTCAATAGAGTATTTAGGGCAAAATCCACGAAGGGAACAAGCAAAAACTTTCTAAAATTTGATAATAATTGTCTAACTCTCAAACCAACGAGTTTAGTATTTTAAATAGGCCTCAAACAATCCAAATTCGAACATAACAAGGAAAACATCAGAGTAAACCGACTTGAAAGCAAATAACAAGTTCTGGCCTAGTTTAAGCTCAAAATAACAAAAACAACCCGTTACTCCTTCTTCTCGCTTTCTGCTTTCTATTCAAGACTTCCTTCTTCCTCCACGGCTTGTAACATCATAAATGACATGCAGTTGAATAGCTCCACATCCATGCTTGAAAAATAACAGCCCAAATATGTTGCGAACTTGTCTCGCATCGTCTTTGCCTTAACACGTGTGATTGGCCCTTTGATGTCCTCATCAGTCCCTCCTTCTTCAAAAGGATATGACCTCAAATCCGAATTGACATCCAAATAAGGAGCAAGGTCAGAAACATTAAATGTTACACTCACTCCATACTCACCCGGCAAGTCGATCTTGTAGGCATTGCTTTCCACCTTCAAAAACACTTGAAATGGACCATTACATCGAGCCATCAACTTTGATCTTCTTTTATGTGGGAATCTCTCCTTCCTCAAGTGCTCCCACACCCAGTCTCCCACTTCAAAGTGCATCGGCTTCTTATGCCTATTGACATTCCTCATAATCTGCTCAGTTCTCCTCTCAATGTTCAATCTAGCCTTCTCGTGGAGACTCTTCACAAATTCAGCCTTCTTTGCTCCATCAAGATTGACTTGTTCTTTCAAAGGTAATGGCATCAAATTCAAAGGTATGAGAGAATTGAAACCATACACAAGCTCAAAAGGAGAGAACTTCGTCGTCGAATGACCATTTTGTTGTAAGAAAATTTCACGTGGGGTAGACAGTCTTCCCAAACCTTGATGTTGCTTTTGATCACAGGTCGAAGCATCTGGGACAGAGTTCGATTGACCACTTCTGTTTGCCCATCGGTTTGAGGATGACATGTAGTAGAAAACAACAGCTTCATCCCCAATTTTCTCCACAATGTCTTCTAGAAGTAGCTCAAAAACTTGGTGTCTCAATCAGACACTATAGTACGTGGCATCCCATTCAATCTCACTGCTTCCCTGAAAAACAAATCCGCCACATTCACAGCATCGTCAATTTTGTGACATGGGAGGAAGTGTGCCATCTTTGAGAACGGATCCACTACCGTGAAAATGGAATCCCTGCCCTTCTCTGTTCTCGGAAAACCAAGCACAAAGTCCATAGATATGTCGATCCATGAAGCATAAGGAATCGGTAATGATGTGTACAATCCAGATTATTGCACTTTCGATTTGGCATGCTTACACTCCACGCATCTCGCACACAGATTCTCCACGTATCCCTTCATGTGAGGCCAATAAAAATGCTCTTGTAGACAACTCAATGTCTTGTCTACACCAAAATGCGCCATAAGACATCCTCCATGAGCTTCCTTCAACAACAAGTCTCGAAGTGATGCACTTGGAATGCATAACCAATTGGCTCGAAATAGATAGCCTTCACCTCGAAAATACTTTCCATCTCATGCTTCTCACAAGCCTTATAGATTTCTCCAAATTCAACATCATCATCATAAAGCTCCTTAATGTGCTCGAATCCCAAATACCTAGCATCCATCATGGTGATCAATGTATGCCTTCGAGATAGGGCATCATCAACTATATTCTCCTTGCCCTGCTTATACTTGATCACATATGGAAAGGTTCAATGAATTCCACCCATCGAGCATGTCTCTTGTTGAGCTTATGTTGAGCCTTCAAATACTTGAGGGACTCATGATCAGTATGTATCACAAACTCCTTTGGCCATAGATAATGCTGCCAAGTTTCCAAAGCTCGAACCAATGCATAGAGCTCCTTGTCATAAGCAGGATAGTTGAGGGCAGCCCCACTCAACTTCTCGTTGAAGTATGAAATATGCCTCTTCTCCTGCATCAGTACGACTCCAATTCAAAGCCAGAAGCATCACACTCCACTTCAAACGTTTTACTAAAATCAGGTAACATCAAGACAAGAGCATGAGTGAGCTTGTGCTTGAGTAGCTTGAATGCTTTGGTCTACTCTTGGCCCCAATGGAACGTGATGACTTGATATATACACATGTTTTTGTCCACCATTCATGTACCGTTTGAGTTTTATTTCTCGTGTTTTAGGCCGATTTCACGCTAGGTTGTTCTTGTTTGTGATCTTTCAGGTCCTAGTACGTGAATGAAGGTTTGGGAACGAGTTCGGGGTCGATTGGACGAAGATTGGACGTTTGGCGAGAAGCTGAGGATGCCACACGGGCACACCTAAAATCTCACACGGCCTTGTGACTTGGCCGTGTGGCACCACTTTGCACGGGCAAGCCACACTGGCCATGTAGGGGACCCCTTGTGGCCGTGTGGAAAGTCCAGGGAGCTCACACGGCCAGACTGGAAATCCACACGGCCGTGTGACTCTGGCCGTGGAGCGTGCCTGAAGTCCACTTATCGAACCGCAGCGTTTTGACATCCACACGGGTAGACTGGGAGACCACACGGCTGTGTGGCCTGGCCGTGTGGTCGGGAAATTCTGGGTTTTAACCCAATTTCGAGCCAAAAGTGAGGGAATCGAGTTTTTGAGCAAGAAACAGAGCCATAGAGAGAGAAAGTGCGAAGAACACATCCTAGAAGTGATTTTGGAGTTGGGTTTCACCAATCGAGCTTGGAGATCATCATAAGAGTGAAGACATCATCCCAGAGCAGATTTTCCTCATCTTTATGAGTATGACTACTTTGTTTTCTGTTTTCCTCTCTCTCTCTCTCTCTCTCTCTCTCTCTATGGAGTACAACCTTCTCTCACTTGGGTATGAAGAACCCTAATTCCATGTGTTAGGGATCTTGATTGTAATGACTTGGGATTGTTATACTGTTTGATTTTAATCGATTGATGCATGATTCATTGAGTCAATTGAAGTCTGATCATCTTTTCTTGATTTCTGCTGCAATCTGAGATAGATAGAATCTGATTAGTTTGTTAGAGCTTCATCAATCGGTAGTGGTAGATTGATTATACGAGAGTTAATCGATTTACTGCTTTGTACTGAAACCCAATTCCAATAGTGGAGTTTTGCGTTCATAGCCTCAGCTTTCTATGCCGGTGAAGACTAATCGTCTGTCGGGTAGTTGGACTGAGAGGGCTTGGTCAGCTTAAGAGATTCCAAGCTACTGTCGGATCTTCCGCAGTTTAATCAACAGTTAATCAACCCAGGGTAATTACAACTGTGACCTAACTAAGGAGCTAGGGGGACTCATTCGTGAGTGACTCTTCCCTTGCTTTAGAAAACCGAACCATTTCCTGCTTTCTTACTGCTTTAGTTAAAATCACAACCACTCGACTTAGTTTGCTAGATAACAGATATTCACGGAGTAGGCAGTAGATCTAGACCCCCGGTTGACAAATAGAGCTTGCCTGTTACTGCATTTCCGGACTGCGATTACACTTGGTCGCAGTTTGGTGTTGTGTTTTAGCGTGTCAGAACGCCACGTTCTTCTTGATTATAGATGTCAAGGTTGCGGCAATGGTGCTGAAGTTGGGCACAAAATGCCTATAGAAACCAGCCAACCCGTGAAAGCTTCTCACTTCATTCACGTTGGTAGGAGTAGGCCAAGCTCGAATTGCATTTACCTTCTCCTCATCCACCTTGACTCCATCTGCATTCACCACAAAACCAAGAAAAACAACACTAGAGGTACAAAACGTGCACTTTTTAGGTTAGCAAATAGTTTTTCCTTTCTCAATGTTTCCAAAAACTCCCTCAAGTGATTGAGATGATCCTCCATGAACTTTGAATAGATCAGAATGCCGTCAATGTAAACAACCACAAAATTGCCAATAAAAGACCTCAAAGCGTGGTTCATCAACCTCATGAAAGTGCTAGGAGCATGGTTAAACCAAAGGGCATCACTAACCATCCATATAGACCATGTTTGGTCTTAAAAGTAGTCTTCCACTCAACCCCTTCATTCATACGAAGTTGGTGAT